CCACTTAATTGCTACTATGTAATTGCAGTCAATCAACAAATCTTCTATGTACTAAGCTACCTCTGTAAGTTTGGCCCCTTCCTTTATGTGGGATGGTAATGTCACACTCTTCCAGCTTTATCCTGCATCCCTGATTCAAATGATATGCTGTTTCCTTAAATGTAAAGGCCTAAACTAGCACTGTGAGGCCTCTCTCAGCTAATCCAACTTGGTTTTTGTTTTTTTTAACAAGAACCTACGTATTCATATAGATTGTCTCATCTGAGACTCCACAATATGAAGAAAGCTGTTCTCTGAACAACTCTACTCAACAACCTTCCATATGATATGTTGTAAAAATGTGCAGCCTGTACTGTCACTTTCCATATGCCAGTTAACATCCATTTTTTGTGTCTGTTTCCAAGTCAAGTTAGAAGGGCATCTCTCAAGAATTGGCATGGATATTGGCCTGCCTCAAAGTCTAGTGTCTTTCCCCCAAATGAGCCATCACACATTTGGTCCAGGCTACATGCCTATATTAGTACCTAAGTCTCTTAAGGGTGTGAAAAATCCAAACCTCTGAGCAACGTAGTTATACCTCTCTAACCCCTGGGCTATGTCTACACTGCAGGTTTCTTGCACAAGAACTGTTTTGCGCAAGAGTTCTTGTGTAAGCGTGCGTCCTCACTGCCATGTGCTTTTGCACAAGAGCTGTGCTTTTGCGCAAGAGCATCCATGGCAGTGTGGACACTCTCTTGTGCAAGAACGCTCTGATGGCCATTTTAGCCATAGGGTTTTCTTACACTACAAACCCCTGTTGCCCATCCGCACTACCTTCTTGCGCAAGAGCTCTTGCGCAAAAGGGCTTATTTCTTGTGGAGAAAGGAATAACTCTTGTGCAAAAAGCCCTCTGATCAGATGCTTTGCCGTAAATTTACTTGCGCAAGAACGCGTGTGCAAGAATGGCCGTTCTTGCGCAAGAAGCCTATAGCATAGACGTAGCCCTGCTGTAGACAGTGCTAGCACAGCAGGTGAGTTTCTCTCATTGACAGAGCTGGCATCTCTCAGGGAGGTGGATTACGGCGGGAGAGCTCAGCATGGAAGGGTGTATCTCCTGCTTTACACAATTTATTAGGCGCTCTTTAGTTGTAAAAACATAGCCGTTCTCACACTGGGCTGTAATTATTAACATAAGAACGGCCATACTGGGTCAGACCAAAGGTCCATCTAGCCCAGTGTCCTGGCTTCTGACAGTGGCCAATGCCAGATGCCCCAGAGGGAGAGAACAGAAGAGGGACTGTAAAGTGATCCCTCCTCTG